ACAGCTGGGGGGAGGCTTTGGATGGGGGGCAATGGGGAGGGGGTCTAGGGGAGTGCTGAGGGGACCCGGAGAGGGGGGACTGCTGCAGGGCCGGGCTCAGCCCGTGCTCTCCCGGCCAGGTGGAGTCCTTTGAAAGATGGATCCGTGCGGGGAGCCTCCCACCCTCGGAGCAGCTCCAGGTGTGTCAGCCCCTTCCCGGACCCCCAGCCCGGGGTGGGACCAGGGTGGGTTTTGGGACCCGGTGCCGAGCGGGCAGGGTCGGACCCCGCATTCCTTGTGCCGCAGAGGATGAGGCTGCTGAAGGACGCGCAGGATGCGCTGGAGCGGGAGTACCTGCGGGGCCGGCAGCAGCTCCCGGGGGCTGCGGGGGGGTTTGATCCTGACCGGTACGTGCTCGAACCCCACAACCCCCTCTTCCAGAACCCGCGGAGCCTCGGGGTTCATTGTACTCCCCGCCCGGCACTGATGGCCGATGTCTTTCAGGGCGGTAGAAGAGGAGATTTACCGCCTGGGGCTGCGCCTGGAGGGGCTGAAGGAGCGGCTGGAGCCGGGGGACAGGCGGCAGCCCCCCCTACAGTCCCCTCCGCAGCCCCTCCCGCAGCCCCGCTGCCCCCCAGCCCCGTCCCCACCGCCGGCCCCCCACTCCCCATGCCCCGAGGTGAGCTGGAGGTGCAAAGGTGCTGGGATGGGGGCACCCTGCTGCGGCTGGGGGGGTCATGCCTCTCGACCCCCCCTTTTGCTGTGCCCTGCAGAGCCCTGAGCTGGTGGACGGCGCCCTGGGGACAGCGGGGGACAACGAGGGAGTGAGGGGGGGGCTACCCTGGCCCCTCTGGCACAAGCAGCTCCGAGTGGAGGAGGATTTCGCGGACCTGCTGGAGCAGTGAGTGCCCTCGGGGCAGCGTAGGAGGGGCCCGGGCAGGGAGCATCTCCCCCAAACCACCCTGTGATCTCCCCCAGGTACAAGCACTTCAAGTCCCTGCCGCAATCACTGAGTCTGGAGCAGCTGAGCCTGGCGGGGAGCGGGTCCCAGGAGGAGGTGGATGCACCTGTAGCAGGGGACGGTGGCCCCGGCAAGGTCCCCTGCAGGACACGGTCACTGGAGGAGGGGGCCGACCTGGAGACCTTCCCCGTGTAAGTGCTGAGGGAGGGCGAGTCCCCAGGCAGGGTGAGCAGGAATTTGCCATCCGGGCTCCTGTTTTGCCTCACTGGCTTCAGAGTTCGCGACCTCCACGGGAGAGCTGCTGCCCCAGGGATTTCCCCACATTTGGGGTTGCTCTGCCTCATCCTCATTCTCCATCCATTCCCCCACAGGCATCCCCCGGAGAGAAAAGCTGCACTGCTGCCCTCCAAGGGACCCCCAAAAGCAGAGGGGACACGGGGCCACCCATCCCCTGCCACCTCTGAGGAGCCACCAGCCACTGCCAAGCCCCACCTGGTGGCCCCCGGACCACCACGGGCGCCGCTGTCCCGCCGCAGCAGCGGGACGGGCAGCACTGCCCCCCAGCACGGGCCCCGCAAGGTGAATCCCCTGGGTGCCCCCCTGCCAGCACCCCCAGACCCTGCCGGGGGTCCTGGGGTGCTCAGCACCGATCCTGCTGTCCCCGTGCCCCTGCAGGAGCAGCGCATCGTGTCACCGGAGACCGACAGCGGCTTCGTGGGCTCGGAGGCCAGCAGGGTGTCACCCCCCGTGCACACCCCCGAGCACCGCCCCCCTGGCACCGGGTACGGCCCCCGCACCTGCCTTCGGGAATCCAGGGGCACGGGCTGTCGGCTCTGTCTGCGGGGGATCGAAGAGGAGCAGCGATGGGGGGAGAGGCTTCACGGCCGTGGGGTACAGGGGGGGTTGGAGATGTCCGGGGTGAGCCTTGAGGGCTCCCTGCATGACCCCTCTCATCCCCAGGACCCCCGGCTCGCTGGGACCCTCCATCCCCATCCCCACAACCCTCCGTGCCCCACGGAACAGAGAGACGACCGCGCTTCCCTCCGAGACAGCACTGATGGGCATCTACCCCGCGGGCGGGCAGGGGGGCACGGGGGGGCTCTGCCTGCCCCCCAGCACCCCCTCGCAGAGCAGTTCCCCCCCTCGCTGGGCCGAGAGCGCGGGCAGCGAGGCGGGGCCCGACCCCGGCGGCGACGGAGGTGAGTAGGCAGCGTTTGGGGAGGGACGTGTCCACAGGGAGAGAGATTTGGGGGGGCCCTGGCCCTGGGGAGGGGGAGAAGCTCTGGTTTATGGTGTTCCCAAACCCCTTTGGGTGCAGGACTGGGGGTGCCTCCTGAGATTATCTTTGCTTGGGCAGGGGGAACACCCCCATTTCCTACGCTGCTAACCTTGACTCGCTGTGCTCCCTTTCCTCCGCAGCTCACACGGACTCGGAGGTGGGAGACAGGAGCTGTGCCAGCACCAGTGGACACCCCCCAGCCATGGCCAGGAGGGTCCCTCCATCCCCAGCCCCAACCAGCCCCCCACCATCCCCTGAAACGCCGTCCCCCACCCTCCTGTCCCCCGACCTGCCGTCCCTCACCCCGGCTCACTGTGACCTGCTGGGCTCCCGCCTGGAGCGCGAGTGAGTGTCCATGGAACCCCAAACCGGGCCAAACCCCCCTGGGTGGCACAGGGACCCCCCCCCAAAGGCACCCCCACGTTCTGCTGGGCAGCAGCAGGTTCCCCTTCTTGGAAAGCTGGGGCTGAGCCATCCAGACTCATGACACATGTGGTGCCTGAGACTGGACCCCCAGCCCAGACAGACCCCAGGCTTGGTTTTGGGGGAGCCCCACAGCTACTGGGTGCTGTGGTGGGGATAGGGGGTCTGAGAGGATGGGGCTGATCCTCCCCCAGGGCCCCCAGCCCTGCTGGGGTCTTTGCTGGCTGCAGACACCCCTCAGCGTGGCCTCTGTCCCGCACAGCCAGGCCATCCGGGAGCTGCGGGAGGAGGTGTGGCGGCTGCGGCGGCGGCTGGAGGAGACCCTGCACCGCTCCCGCAGCTATCCCGAGGGAAAAGCCACTCCCCGTGTCGCCCCGGCCAGGAGGCAGCCCGTGGGCAGCGCACCATCGTCCCCCCAGGACGCAGCACCCCCGGGGTAGGTGGCAGGAGGGACCTGGGGGGCGGCACTGTGTCCCTGTCCCATGGGCACGGGGACACCCCCAGCCTGTCCCACCTCTGCTGTGACAGAGGTTGGGCTTGGGGGGACCGGCAGCTGGGTGGGTGGGGACACTGGGGGGTCTGGGTGGTGACAGCATCTCTGTCCCCTCCGCAGGGAGCTGAGCCCCCCGGCGCGGGGCAGGGTGGCCCCCGGGGTCGCACCCACGCGGAGGGGCAGGTCGGCATCGCTGCCACGGGACAGGCCGGAACTGGACCTCAGTAAGTGGGACCCCAGCGGGGTGGGGACAGAGGGGACAAGCCCCTCCCTGCACGGAACAGGGTGTTGGTGGGGCTGTGGGACTGCGGAGACCAGGCAGGTCCTGGTGGTCCCATAAGACCCCACAGTGGGTCCTGCAGATCTGGGGCTCAGACCCACCGGATCCCACCCCACTTCCCTCTCCTCTGCCACAGCCTCCGAGTCAGACCCCTCGCCCGCCGGGCCCCGGGCACGCCCCTCCCTGCGGAAGCACCCTGGGAGCCCCCCGGGAGCGGTGACATTCCGGGGACAGTACACAGGTGGGTGCTGGTGGCGGTCAGTGCTGGGGGAGGGGGTGACCACCCCCACTTTGGGGTCCCCGGCCGTGCTGACGCTGGGTTTTGGCAGGGACACGGTACCAGGGGGGGACACCACGTGCTGCCCCAGCACCCCGAGAGGAGCCGGGCACCCCGGGGTGCCCTCGATGTCACAGGAGCGGGACATCATCGGGTGAGTGGGGAGCAGCCCCCAGCCCCTTCTTGGCCTTCCCTGCCACCTGCTAACAGAGCTGCTAATGACTTACTCATTAATTAGAGAGGCTCGGGGAGGGGGGAGCCCATTCCTCATGACCTGAGGCTCTCCCTTGCCCCTCGACCAGACCCCTCTGCCCTGGGGCTGCAACCACTGGTGTCACTGGGAGCAGTGGGAACCTGTCCTGGATACCTGCCTTTGCAGACCCCCTTTGCAGCAGCCCCCACCCCACCTCCCAGCCCATCCCAGCCACCCCCAAAACCACTCTGCTCTTCCCAAACATCCCTCGCTTGTTCTGCACGGGACATTCCCGATTTCCTCTCTGCTCCCTCCATAGGTGGATTCTGGGAGGGTGATGCCACCCAGCAGCCCCAGCACAGCACCCCAAGGAGGACACGCTGCCCCACTTGCCGGGCACCACTGGGCCCCCCCGTGCCAGGCAGCAGGGACAGAACCACGCACGGTGGGTGACGAGGGTGACACGTGCTTGGCACAGCCCATCCCTGTGTGAGAGGTGGGCAGGGAACAGCCCTCAGCTCCCCGACACTGCTTGGGGACAGAAGTGACAGCCAGCAGTGCCACCTGCGGGTATGGGTGTTCCCACCCAGCAGTGGCTGCCCGGGGGTGATGTCACCTGGGGCTGCCACTCGATGCACAGCCCTGGGGGCATCCAGCACCCCTGGGGACATCCAGCACTCCTTGGGGACATCTCACCCCCCAACCACCTTCCTCTCTCCCCACAGCAGAGCGTGGCCCCGGTGCCACATCCTCCCCAGGCTCCCACGTTGGTCCCCGAGCCGAGAAGCCGGATCAGCCCGGATTTTGGTACCTGGCAGCCGGTCCTGCTGCCACCGTCTGCCTCGCCCCCGTCCCCCTCGTGCCTTACGTGCCCTCCGTGCTGTAAGGATGCTCTGGGGGCAGGTGGGGAGGGGGACCAGGGTGGGTCAGCATCCCCCAGGGGTGCAGGGTGAACCCAGGCAGGGCTGTGCCTACTCCAAGGACCTGCTGGTTTGCCCACAGATCCCATCCGGGTGGGAATGGGGTGACACAGCCACAGCTCCTTTGGGGAGGGGTCTGGGTGGAGCGGGAAGGTGCTGGAGGGTGGGGGGGTGGATGAGGTGGGGGAGAGGGATGAAAACAAGGTGGGGGGGGCACAGAGCCTGGGTGGGGGGACTCAGAAGCAACACTGAGCCCATGTCCCCTTCTTTTTCCTCCCAGCTACTGCTCCCCAGCCGTACCTACCTCAGCCCCCGCCACGGCCGCGGCCACCCCGCGCCTCACCGGGGGAAACCGGCGGGCACAGAGACCCCCCCGGGCACAGCCCCGCCACCGCTGCCTCAGCCTGGACCTGGAGGAGCTGGACCAGCTCAACTGGTCCCTGAGCCGGGCCGTGGAGGCTGCCCAGAGCGTCAGGGTGACCACCACCCGCATGAGCCGGGCACTGGCCGCTGAGCTGGGCCGGGCACGGGATCTGCGCAGCTCCTGCCTCTTCTGAGGGTCCCACGGGACCTGCGGGGCTCCTGCCTCTTCTGAGGCACCTGAGGGGCTCCTGTCTCTTCTGAGGGACCTGAGGGGCTCCTACATCTTCTGAGGGTCCCACTGGCACCTTCCAAACCATCCCTGCCCTCACAGCAGGCAGGGATGAGGAGGAGGAGGAGGAGGACGGTCCCCCACCATCAGCATCCCAGCACTGGGTGCTCCTGGTGCCAGATCTGGGGGCACCGGGGCTGGAGGCATCTCCAGGGGGTCCTGCCCTGACTCCCACCCCCTTCCTGCTTGCCTTAGAGTTCCTGCATCGCTTGTCTGTCTGTCTGTCTGTTTTCAGGACCACTCAAGCTGCAGGAGGGGGGAAGGTGTGGGCAGGGGTCCCCTGGGACCTGCAGCACCCTGGGGAATGAGCACCATCCCCTGGGACCAAGGGGGTGGCCCCGTGTCCCCCCCTGAGGCAGTGGCCACCCCAACCTAAGCACTTCTGGGGCTGCTGTGACCTGGGTGGCCCCGTGTCCCCCCCTGAGGCAGTGGCCACCCCAACCTAAGCACTTCTGGGGCTGCTGTGACCTGGTGTAGGTCCTGCACAGGTCGAGCCCCCCTTGGCAGCTGTGTTTACCTCTGTGCCTGCATGGGCAGAAATACCTGTGATTCCCTGTTCCATCCCTTTCCCAGATTTTAGGCCTCCTCAGGGGGCTCAACCCATGTGTCCCCCTCCTGCTCTGCCCTCGGACTTGAACCCAGCGGGATCCTTTCTGGGGAAACCCTTCTTTGTGTGGGATTTTTGTGATTTATTTTTTCCCCAAGAGAGCCAGTAAGCAGCTAAACCACTCTTTGAGGGTTGATTGATATATAATGTGTGTGTCTATATATATGTATCTATATATGGATATATCTAGACAGAGATAAATCCATGTCTGTCTATATTTAGATATATATCTCTAGAAAGACAGAGATATCTCTCTATATAAATCTGTATATACACAGATCTGTATCTATAGATATATTTTGGTTTTCATTTCCAGCACAACCTTTAGGGCATTTGTGGGGCTTTTTTTGCCCACATCCCTGGATGTGGCCACCCACAGCATCATCC